TCATGGGCTTTCCTGCCAGAGCAGGCTTTAAACTGCAATCCTCAGATCTCAGCCTCCTGAATAGCCAGGAATACACACCGACTCCAATCTGTTCTCCCCACTATTTCTAGGGTGACCTTTCTGAAATGGGAATACAAGCCCCTTAGTCCTGTGATCAAAATTCTGCTTAGAGGGTAAGAGTCAGGCTCTTACTCAACATCTTCTCCTGATCTTGTTTCTTCTTGACTGGGTCTTGTGAACTGGATGCACACAGTTACTTCTGGGTCTTGCTGTGGTTTGAATGTGGATTGCCTCCCAAAAGTCTATGTGCTAGAGGTTAGGTTATTATAGTGTGACAGAATCTTTTAGTGTAGGCTCTAGTAGGAGTCAATTAGGCATTTAAGAAGAATGAACTTCAAAACAAAAAAAAAAAGGGAAGGAAAGAAGGATGCTATCCTTGGTGAGTTTTCATAAAAACAGCAAGCCTGGACCCTCCCCAGTCTCTCAATTCCTGTCTTGCCATGACCCCTTCTCTCTTCCTGCCACTGAGATGCATCTGCCATGACTTATCAAAACTGAGCAGATGCTGGGGCCATGCTCTTAAATCTTCAGAACTGTGAATTAAATAAGGCTTTCTTATTTAGAAAGTACCTTGACTTGGATATTTTGTTACAGTAATACAAAGACAACTAAGACAGTGGTGCATAGGACAGAAGCTCAAGACCATGTATCCATGTTAAGAAAGCCCGTAAGGCCTCATGTGAACCCAAAAAAACCCTGTGAATGGTATGCTCTGTATTCACCAAAATAAAACAGACAATATACTACAATTAAAAACTACTTCTCATTTTAGATATCTTAAAATTAATGTGATTCCCAACAACTAAATTTATTACTCTGTATGTTAACCTAATAATGAGTAATAAGCATAAAAACACAGTAATAAAAATAATACATTTACTGTTTTTTATATATGAAACCTTTCAAGACAGCACTCCTCTGAAGCTTTAACAAATTAATTTTGTTTCAATAAATTAGCTTCTTTAACAATAAAGAATAAGTATTATTGACAGATAATATTCAAATGAAAAAGTATTTATTTTTCTAAGTTGGCCCTTTATCTCTATCTTATATCATTTCCATTTTGACCTGTTGCTTTCTGCTACCTACTTCTCTCCTAAGTTTATCCCCGCTCCCAATTCTCAGAAGCAACAGGGTGTATTTTCTAAGGCTTGCATTTATTTTACTTACCACAGACTTACCATAGAAACCTCTCTGCTTTTCTCTCACCCTCTCCTTTCCTAATTAACCTCACAGAAACCACTTAATCACCAGAAAACTAAAAGTAGAGCTGTGGCTCAAAGAGGTAGAATACTAGCCTTGAGCAAATCAGGGATAGCACCCAGGCCCTGAGTTCAAGCCCCACATTCCACAAAAAAGAAAGAAAAGAAAAAAGCCCCACTCATACATAATTTCATCTATTCAAGAAACATTCAGTAAATGTCTAGATACCAGGAATAGAGTTCATTTTTTTGCTTAACATATTTGGGAGAACAGGTGTGCTCATATAAATCCAAACTGACTTTACCCACAATAAATACACTGTGAGAAAAGCTAATGTACACATGCTATCCATGAAGCAAATCTTGTCTACACTATATGCCACATATTGGTACTTGATTTCATTTAGTTTATGAATTTCACAATCGCATAGTGGGTGAAGAATTGCAATCTTAAAAAATTACTACCCTAATATTTATTTACTTATTTTTATTTTCATTTTTTTTGTAGGTCATGAGGCTTGACCTCTGGGCTTGGGCGCTGTCCTTGCCCTCTTCAGCTCAAGGCGAGTGCTGTACGGCCTGAGCCACAGCTCCACTTCCGGTTTTCTAGTGGTTTACTGGAGATAAGAGTCTCACGGACTTTCCTGCTCGGGCTGGCTTTGAACTGCAATCCTCAGATCTCAGCCTCCTGAGTAGCTAGTATTATAGTTTTGAGCCACCGGCAGCACCAGGCAAGCCCTAATATTTATGAAGGAAATATTATTATATTTTTAAAATAAGCCCTAAAGTTGGGTGTTGATGATTCATGCCTGTAATCCTAGTTATTTTGAGACTAAAAAAATGGGAGGATCATGGTTTAAAGCCAACCTAGGCAGAAAAGATTATCACACCTCTTCTCAACCAATGGCTGGGCACAGGAGTAAACACTGTAATCCCAAACTATTGGGAGGCTGAGATTGAGAGGATCATGGTTCCAGCCTAGCCCAAGAAAAATCTGTGAAATACCATCTCCACAGAAGGGAAGCTAGATGCAATGGCGAGCACTTGTGATCTCAAGAGCAGACTGGTCAGGAAAATAAGACCCAAAAAAACTAGCGAGATGTAGCTCAAGTGGTGGAGCACCAGCCTAGCAAGCTCATGGCTAAGTTCAAACCCCAGTTCTAAAAACAAAAGCAGCCAAAAAAAATCCAAAACTAATACCTTAGAAGTGACAGAAAAGAGAGGAGGGTAAAGAAGAAGAAGGGTAACTGAGAGGTAAAAATTAAAGAAATGAGAGAGAAGCAGAGATAGATAGAATAGTATGAATCAGGGAGGAACTGTATAGCTTTGGGTGTTTGGGATGAAGATGTAGATATCGACTATAGATATGAGTTTGTTCCACTGAGGCAACATACTACAAAACATTCAATATCTTGGGTGAAAGTTCCTGGCTTCCCCATCTAGTTTTCAGTACTCCAATTCAGAAGACCTTGTTCTACAAGTTTCTTGGCAGTTATTTACTAGCAATACTTTTCATATCTGGTAATGCAAATACCTATTTGTAAAAGGAAACCTAATATGCCTCATAATTTCAAGAAAAATTGGCAAGATGGTGAATAATAGTCAATACATATGTACATGAACTTATTACAATTTTAAAATATACTAGCACTCAAAATATGAGATAATTTCAAGAATCTCATATAAATCTAATTTCTATTGCTTTGGGCATAGCTTTAGAAATCTAAAAATGAATAGCTGACATTTTAAGAACCTGCTTAGAGAGTTCTAATTTAAAGGGCACACACATACACATACACAAACCAAAAACACTCTTGGCAGTTGCCATGACAACATAATGCGGTGCCTACCAAGCTCTTTGTTATCCTGAAGACACTGTGCAATACCACGATAGACTCTTTGCTAATTAAGTGGAAAAGGTTAAAAAGTCTAGCTCTGCATGGTTTTTCCTGGTGCTAGGACTCAAGAAAGCGAATACTAAACATTTTAAGAAAAAGAATGGAAAAATAATAACTGTAAGACCCATTTCATATCAAAGTAGAAATGGTGTTGGAAAAGATGAGAGAAATATTTTTGTTTTCTTTGTACTTCATCACCTCCTAATAAGCCATATCATACTGTTTCAACAGAATGGTCACTTTGTATAATACAATTTAGTTAACAGTCTCTTATTTTACCAACGTATTTAAATATGTTTTGGTCATAACAATTTCATTCATTTGGGAGTCCATATTTCTATATGCTAAATAACTATAACAAAGAAAAACTGCTTTGAAACTAGTAAGTATATGACCACTCCCTACAAAGAAAGAAAATAAAGATATAGTGTATTCACAAACTGCTTTGTTAAATGACAACTCCTTGTAATAATAATAGTATAAAATTTGAATAGTTTCCTATTAGCCTCCAAAAAAATAGTAATGGAAGACAGAAATAAAGGATAATCTGTAATAAGTCACTATGATAAGACACACTTACTTTCTTTCCCCTTCTCTGATTAGCCTTCTCAATCTCCTTGATAGGGTTTTCTCTCTCTCTCTATTCTAGTCCTTAGTCCAAGAGCCCCACCAGGATTTGATCTAGACAGCGATCACTTAAGTTTCTCTTCTTATTCAGTTTCATCCTTCACCAGTAACTTCAATTATTACTTACAAGCATTTACATTCCCAACCAGGGCTCTCCTGGGCAAATGCCTCCTCAGCCCCTCCTTCTTGTTGCCACTTGAAAAGGTAGATCTGGTACTGTTGCAGTGCTCTGTATGTCAGCACATTACAGCTTTTAATGTTCCTTGCACAGACAAATTTAGTAACTATCTGCTGAAGGAGTCAAATAGTCAAACCTGTTATACAAACCAAAAACTCTAACAGTCATCCTTGATAATGCCCTATTCCTCTTCTCCATGAGTGAGGACTCAAGTCCTGCTCGTATTCTCAAATCTGTACCACTGTCAGAGGCTTCACAGCCACTGCTCACGGCATCATTCTTTGCCTGTTGTGATAATAAAAGTTTCTGAACCAATAATCAGGAACGTGCAAATACAAAAGTTAAGCACACAAAAGTTAAGCAATCAATACCTATCAAATAAGCAGTTTATTGACCAAACTGATAGTTGTTCTAAGAAAAGGAAAATGAACTAGACATTAACCAGGTGCCAGACACTGACCTTGACAGCTCACACACACACACTACCACTGATTGTCCCAACAAGCAGAGAACCACCCTCCCTTGGGTACTGTTTTTATTTCCTTTTTCAAATCAGGAAAATTAGCCATATGGTATTATAGTTACTTGCTCAAGGTAACATACCAGAAAATGGTACTACTTGAACACAGTTCTGTTTAAGAATTTATTAAACACTTGTTTAACGTATCCCAAGTTGCTAGAACTAACAAAGACATCCATAAACTCAAAGGTCTAGTGTTGAATTTGAGAAGTCTGTCTCCAGGGTCAGAGCTGCTTCATCATCTGCTTTCTACCTAGTGTTCACAGAAGGAAGTCTCTGCCCACTCCAATCCCTGTATGTTCCAAGTACAATTAATGTTGCTGTCACTGAGTCCCCCTCAACTCCTCCAAAAACTGTTTCACTCAAATAAGGAACCAAGAGAAGATCTGTAGTCAGTCTAATTGCACAAACTTGGTGATATTTTTCTTAACAAGTCTCAAGAAAACAACATGAATGGTATCAATAAAAAGGCTTTTTGTTTTGTTTTGTTTTTTAACGTCTAACCCAGTACTTACAGTTTTATAACTCCATCTGAGCACCTGGAACAGAGCTGTTGGCTGCTTTTGTCTTGTTTATGTTGATTCTGCCCAAGCTGAACAAATCTACAAATTACAATGGATAAAAGTAAGCTAGAGAAGGAAGGATCTGAAATCAATTCAGCTCACACAAAATGATGTAAAGTGTTAAATGGCAATAATATGCTTGTTTCAGAAAAGAAAATAAGAGCACCCTTTGTTTTTTAATATGTTTTTTATTATAAAAATACTGTACAGGGGCTGGGAAGGTGGCTCAGTGGTAGAGTGCTTGCCTCGCATGCATGAGGCCCTGGGTTCGATTCCTCAGCACCACATAAGCAGAAAAAGCTGGAGGTAGTGCTGTGGCTCAAGTGGTAGAGCACCAGCCTTGAGCTCAAGAGCTGAGAGATGGTGCCCAGGCCCAGAGGTCAGGCCCCACAACCAACAACAACAACAAAATATTGTACAGAGGGGTTATAGTTACGTGAGTAAGGTAATGAATACCTTTCCTATTGAGCATTGTTACCCCCTCCTTTGTTTTTCTCCTATCATCCCTTCCCTCCCCACCTCCCCAATTCCTCCCTCCCTCCCCCAAGTTGTAAAGTTCATTTCAACATAGTGTCCTGCACATCTCATTGTTACAATGGGTCAACCTGTATCCTTATTTCAGCATTTTGTTATTTCCTTTCCCTTCCCCAAATTAGAAAAATGTACACACAAGATGCAGGGCACCAACATCAAATACAGTGAAAACAGGGGTTATACTGTGGGGAAGAACATACAAGAGAAACAAAAAATCACATAGTACATTTTAAATATGTTAAAAATAATAGCAAGAAAGATAAAAACCACTTGTGCGGTTTATACTCCCACCAACAATGCAGTAGGGTTCCCTTTTGGCCACATTCCCCTCCAGCATCTGTTATTAGATTTCTTGATTCTAGCCATTCTAACTGGTGTGAGGTGGAATCTTAATGTTGTTTTGATGTGCATTTCTTTTATGGCTAGAGAAGCTGAGCATTTCTTCATGTGTCTATTGGCCATTCTTATTTCCTCTTCAGAGAAGTTTCTCTTTAAGTCTTTAGCCTACTTATTAATTGGGTGGTTGTTTCTTTGTTGTTGGGGGTTTTAATTTTTTGAGTTCTAAGTATGAGACCCTTATCTGTTGTATGGCTAGACATCAATCCATAGGCTTTTTATTGATCTTGCTAGCTATGTCCTTTGCCATGCAGAAGCTCTGTAGTTTCATGCAATCCCTTTCGTCCAACCTTTCTTTGATTTGTTGTTTCTGGGTCTTTATTAAGAAAATTTCAGCCTGTGCTAAGGAGCCCTAGAGTTTCTCCTATTCCTTCCTGTAAAATTTTCAGGGTGTCTACTTTGACTTCGAGGTCTTTGATCCATTTGGAGTTGATTCTGTGCAGGGTGATATATATGGATCTAGCTTTAGTTTTCTACAGGTGTTTAACCATTTTTGCCAGCACCATTTACTGAAGAGGCTGTCCTTCTTCCATTCTATTTTTTAAGATACCTTATCGAAGATTAGATGGCTATAGGTCTGTGGGTTCATTTCTGGGTCTTTAGTTCTATTCCACTAGTCCTCAGGTCTGTTCTTTTGCCATTACCAAGTTGTTTTGACTACTATGGCTTTGTAGTAGAGTTTGAAATTTGGTATTGATATTCCTCCAGCACTGTTCTTTCTGCTAAGGATTGTTTTTGCTATTTGGGGTCTTTTATTGTTCTATATGAATTTTTGGGTTACTTCTTCTATTTCCTTGAAGAATGAGGTTGGACTATTGATAGGTATTGTATTAAATTTGTAGATAGCCTTTGGGAGTATTGCCATTTTCACTATGTTAATCCTCCCAGTCCAGGAGTATGGGAGGTTTTTCCACTTCCTAAGTTCTGCTTTAATTTCCTTTTTTAGGTTTTTAAAGTTTTCATCGTAGAGGTCCTTCTCTTCTTTAGTTAACTCCTAGCTATTTTGTTTTTTGTGGGGCTATTACAAAAGGATTTGCTTTCTTGATTTCAGCTACACTAAGAGCATCCTTTGTAACACAAGACTTAGCTGGAATTTTTTTAGAAGGATACATCATTTTGTGTAGCATGTAATTCCTAACCATGGACATAAATCACATGTATACTTTTGCCTTCTAGCTATGCAGAAATTGAGCCAGGCAGATGGTCCTATAGGGTCTCCTCAGGAAGCATGAGGTGGAGCTGGCAATGAAATTAATGACATGCAAAGGGTGGGCAGGCTAGGAACCAACCTCCACAAAGTATCAATGCTGCTGGGAACCTAGGACATGAGCTCAATTTCCTTAGGCCAATAGATTCCTCCTATTCATGTATCTTCCCACCTATTAACTATCTCTAAGTGGAACACATTCAACCAAGATGGAGGGGCCAGCTCATGAGCAGCATGGTCAAGTCATCCCTCCTCAGAGAAGACCTGAACAGAATTAATCACAGTGTTAAGCTAAGACACACTGTCCCCTCAGAGTGGTGATGTTATAGTTTGTTCTTTGTGTCCACAGGTCTACAGGATTAAAGAGCTGATTCTCTTTCCATTTTCCTATTATCTAATATATTTCCTTTGATGAGCATGGATAATTTTTATCATTTATTTTTCATAAGCTTTTCTAAAGGTCAAGAAAAATGCTGCAGAAGCTACCAATTATGAAGTCATTATAGTGCTACTGAAAAACTTCCATAGAGCTGACTTTTATCTTCAGCAGGTGACAGATTTTCATTCATCTTTTTGGCGGAATAATGTCACATATTATCAACTATTTGCATAGACTTTTAAACTTTCCAAATCGAATGCCCGATCACTGTCACTTTTTTTTTTAATTGTTGCAGGTGGATGCAGCTTTAAAGAAGTGAAAGAAACTTTCCGCTTGTCAAGACAACAAACCAAAGTCACTAGAAAACATAAGGAAGAGGAAGACAAGAAAGAGCAGGGCTCAATGCATGGAACAAAAGCAGAAAACTGAGAAATTCTCAGGAGTCTGGAAGTGCTCAGAGCCAATGAAGGAAATACAGTATACTTTCTCTTCCCTACAGTGTCCTGTGGTGGCCCAGTAGGAGCTGTGATCTACAAGCCAGGCCAGGGCACTGCTGGTATATGCATAAACTTCCATGGGCACCAGCTTCCTGGGTGCAGAACTAGAGAGGTTTAGGCAACTTTGTGGGTTCTCTCTCTGCTCTGTGGATCAGAAGAATTACTAAGACAGTTCCAATGCAAGAAGAGTCAATTACTAAGACAGTTCCAATGCGAGAAGAGCCCTGACTGTCCTGTGGCCACCTCTGGCACAGCTACCCCCACAGAAGCTGCTGACATTTGGACCTTGAATGCTCCTCAAAGCCCCAGCAGTTAAAGGCTTATTTCTGGAGTAGTGCTATTGGTAGATAGCAAAAACTTTAAGAGGTGGGGCCTAATGAGAGGGTTCATGCACAATAGGGGTATATACTCAATGCAGAATGGATGACCTGATTTATTTTTCTTTCTTTTTTTATTTTCCAGCTATATGACAAACAGCTTTGTTCCACCATGCATGACACTGTCCCCAAAGCAACAGGATCAAATAAGCCAAAAGAAATCTCTGTTCTTGGTAAGTTTGTTTTCTCAGGTATTTTGTTACAGTAATGGAATACAGAAGCTTCCTCTGACTATAACAATGCCCATGGAAGATGGAGACGAGAGAGGCCCACAAAGTCCTAGGCGGGAAGGAAGAAGCCTAACAGGGGTAGTGTGCCCGTAGGAAGTGGCTACTCACATAGAGGAAAGTAATGGCCAGGTCTCTGGCCAGGTCTATGTTCCTCCACATTCTCCCTAAGGTCTACATCATAAACAAGGCAGCTGAGAGGAACAAGGGAATACAATATGTAACCTGGACAAATCACTGAATGGCTCCGCACGCTTAGCCCATAATGTGGTATAATAGTCTCTTTCTATTATGGGTATTTAAAGAACAAATAGAAGGCAGTATAATTTCTGCAGTATCAATCACAGACTCCAGTTCTAGATGGATTCCTCTGTCCCTAACAGCAATCGCTTCCTTACAGACATGTATTTCCATACTCCTGAGCTGTTTCCCAGGAATATTGTGGCTGAACAAAGCCATAGAGGCAGTCCAAGCCATTAAGGCTGCAAGTGAAAGTCATGCCTGAGGCAAGAGATATTTTTTAAAAAAAGAAACTGCCAATTAGTGCTTATTTTTTTATTAAGAAATTTACATATACCAAACCGGTATGACTTACATGGGACATAGTTCACTTGTTTTCTAGCCTTCTGAAGGCTTGTGTTAGGTGGTATTTACAGTGGTATTTGCAGGTTCTTGAGGATTTTGGAATGAACAATTATTTTGAGAACCTCCATGACTTTCCTCCTCAGCACATATACACACACAGATGATTTCTGGGAATGCCTTTTGTCTGATGGCTTCCTTCAATGAGATCTTCCTGGTCAACACATCCTGAACTGGTAGTATTGACCTTTCCCCCTTAGCCACCACTCCCACCTGCACCTAAAGCTAAAACAAACACCAGGTTCTCAGCTGTCATCTTTCCGTATTTGTTTTGTAAGACAGCAATGACTAGTGGCTCTACAAGAGCAGTAACAAACATCTAAGCATCATAAATTTTTATCACTGAGGGCAAGCATCTTAGGTGCTAAGACCTTTAATTCTAAATACAAAGTAGTATTTCAGATTTTGATACCTTAAATGCTACAAATGTATTCTACATGAGATTTATTTCTTTCTGCATTTTTATTTTCATTTTTAAAGGTCATATAGATATGATTATAATATGTTTTTTTCCTTTCCCCCTTTCTTTCTATGTGAAAGTATCTTACCTTGAATAAATGGAGAAATCTTCCTCAGAGAGGCCATCTGAGAGATTAATTCCATACACTTCTTTCATGGGTTGGACCAAATTCTGGTTTAAAAAATGGAAACAGAACTTTTTGACATCCAGCATATTGATAATTTCCAAAAATGAAGAAAGTAAGTCTAGAAAATTTTCTATAAAAGCAATCATAATGGTTTCCCCAACCTGCTCATTCAACTTCTTAGTTTATGTCTTTAAAAAAAACTCTGGACCCATTGCAACAATGACATGTACAAGTCGTTATGTTGAAAAAAATGAACTTAACAACTTTGGTGGGGGGTGGGGGGAGGACCGGGTAGGGGGAGGGGAGGAATATGGGAAGGGATGGGAAGGGGAAACAATGAGGAGACAACAATGCTTGGTAAGAAATGTACTCATTATCTTGCCCATGTAATTGTAACTCCTCTGTACGTTATTCTCACAATAAAAAAAAACCCTCTGATTTCCATTTCCCACTAAAAACCAGTGTATTTTATGATTTTAAAAGCACATTAAATAATTACATTTTTTGCTGTAAAATGCAGGAGTTGGCATTTTCTATAAAATGCCCGATAATATATATTTCAGGCTCATTAGTTTTAATCAGCTCTCTTGTAATTATTCACCTCTGCTGCTATAATACAAAAACAGTCGCATGTAATATGTAGGCAGGTAGGCAGGGCTAGGTTCCAATAAAGCTTTATTTACAAAAAAAAAAAACAGGCTGGATCTGGCTGATCAGTCAGACGCTGCCAATTCTTTGTGTAATAAATTCAGATCTCATTTATTTGTCTTATCTATTTCTAGATGACTTAGCTATTTCTAGAAAGCAAATTTCCTCAAAGCTTGATTTGGTTCTTCAGTTTATTGTTGTTTGTTTCCAGTTGTACTCCTTTACTGTAATATGAACAGGGTAAATATCCCTCTGGGGTTTTTTAAAGATTGTGTGAGACAGGTCTAAAACCTGCTCAGAGTACAGGAAATGAATACATGGACCTCAAGTAGATGGGATACTCAAAGGAAGGCAGGATGGTCAGATACCTGTGGCTCACCTGTAATCCTAGCTACTCAGGAGGCTGAGATCTAAGGATTCTGGTTTGAAGCCAGCTCCTACGGGAGTCTGTGAAATTTTTATCTTCAATTAGCAACCAAAAAGCTAGAAATAGACCAGTATCTTAAGTGGCAGAGTGTCAGCCTTGAGCAAAAAGGCGAAGGGACAGCACTTAGATCCTAGTTCAAGTCCTAGTACTGGCACAGAAACAAACAAAAAGGGCAGAATATTCTTTAAAATTCTGAGGTGGTAAGAATTCACAATTACAAAGGGGAGCAAAATCACTAATTCTATTTCAAAATAAACCATTTTCAAGTCTATGCTAAATGTGGTCAGCTTATAGGCATAAGCCTCAAGCAGCACATATTAAAATGTATGAGTGAGATGACATTTTCTTACTCTCAGCCTTTTAATGAAAGCAGAATTTTAAAGATCATCCTTAGGGCCTCAGGCTGAGTCACGTGGGCTTCCTTCCCACACACCTCAGTGGCTTTGGTGCTGTCTCCTGTGTCAGTCATCTTCACAGGGGTGGAGCGCTGAGACACAGACCCCTCATCCTCACGGTCTGTCCCAGAGTCATCCTCAGAGCTGCTGGACACGGCCTCCTCACTGGGGGGGGGTGGGGCACTGGCTGCAGTTTTCCGCTGCAATACAGCTTCTTCTCGATTGCTTTTATTTCTTTAAAAAGAGGAACAGTGGATGTGAAGCCTCTTTAAACTGAACCTTCAATGCTCATTTTGTATTGAAAATGACTGAGAAAGTAGTTTCTGAACTCACCATGTGCTAAGTAGGAAAGCTCAGTATTTCTTTACTTATATGTACCAATCTTATATGCATTTAAACTCATTATTAATTTTAAAAATAACCCAAAGTGTACTTTCAGGGTATAGAAAAGTCTCCTCAGCACTTGGCTACTGTAACTTCCTTTATCAACTGAAATCAATACTTTTAAAGTTTCTGGAAAAGTATGAGAAAACTGTATGTTTGAGGCATTAGTAAAATTCCCTATAACTTGTAAAAGCTTCAAGAAAAAGCCAAGAGAAAATCCACATGTTGTCCTTATCAACCACAGTGTACTGAAGTAATCAACTGCAGAACATCATATGATTTTTAAAGTTTCTTGTATTTATTAGTGAACAAGTACATTCATTGAACAATGCCTCTGATAGTTGAGAACAAATGGGGAGGGAAAGATGGAGAAAAAAACCTGTACAAGTATTTATTGTATTTACTTTTATTTTTAGGGCCAAGTTTGCTAGTAGCAAAAAAGTGTTTTATAGTAATACTTCTTTTGGCTTTTATAAAAATGTTTAATAGTTCACACTTGTTAAACGTTTTTCTGCAATAAACTAAAAATGTCAGTAGTCTAGGAAAGGATGAAAACAATGCTATTTGACTGTGGATTAACATACTGTGGAGATCAAAGTTAATTTCTGACTTTTTGCAACTGAAAATTAAATTTGATAGGATTTCTTTGCTATACACTAATGAGGCTGGTCATTTACTTATGCCAGGAACTTTTCAATTCTAAACTCACAAGGATTTTTTTTTTTAATTCCTCTTAGGACCTGATCAGGACTGAACATGAAGCCATTTAAAGGCCACATAGTTATGCACATATGCACGTGGTGCATCTGGAAACTATTAGTGAATATCCCACAACTACACGTAACTAGAGTCCAATTAAGATCCCACACACATTTCCAAATTCAATTAGGATTCTGTATCTGCAGTCTGGTCGGGGCTTCTGGTTGGCATCCAGGGGAAATCTTAATCATTGGAACTAAGCAGGTTAAAAGAGGAGAAAGGAATTCTTCTGCCAGAAACAACATATTTTACATTAGTCTCTAAGCATGAAGATGTAAACATGGTATGTTTTCTTCATATTACTAGAAACAACAAAGTGAGTGTCCCCTAAAACAGTATCATAGCTACACATAAGAGAGTATAAGTTCTCTATCAGGGCACACTGGCTTTTATGTTTCTTAGGATGCTCACACAAAAAATACAATTAATATACAATTTTACTTAAATATTTCATGTTGGGAAACAATGCCAGGTTTTTTATAAGATATAAAACATAATATCAGTTCTATGTCATCTGTTATAGTCTCAATTTAAAATCAGTAAAATGTACTATGTTGCTGAAATTCCCATAAATTTTATTTTCACTACTAAACAATTTAATTTTAATGATCCTTGTGCTATTAATGAGCTATTATATAGCTGCAATAAACAGACTGACCCAAATATGACTTGAAGTTATTAGTTTTTGGTGCAAATACTACTATAAATGCTATTAGTTTATAAGAATCTTTAAGATTTCATTCTATATGTAAGTCTTACCCCAAGACGGATTTTCCAGTTTCATCTGGTTTCCGCACAGTAAACGGACTTGGATCTATGCCAACAGTCTTAGGCATAAAGTCACTAGAAAGAGATGGGAAAAAGGCAAAATACCTATGGAATCTGTCCATCCAGATGATATTGACTTTTATCTCTACTCACACACAAAATATTCTTACTTATCTTCTAGAGCTACATATGTTCTGAATCAAATGTCCAGGAAAGCTGCAGGTGAACAATGAAACTAGATAACTTCAATGTATGTAACCAATGTTCACTATGAATTCTCTATAGCCGCAAGGCCCAACAGTTTTGTTTGTTTGTTTGTTTGTTTTTGGGGGGGTCTGGTCGTGGGGCCTGAACTCTGGGCCTGGGCGCTGTCTCTCAGCTCTTCAGCTAGTGCTCTACCACTTGAACCACAGCGCCACTTCTGGCTTTTTTCTTTTTGCTTATGTGGTGCTGAGGAATTGAACCCAGGGCCTCATGCATGCAAGGCAAGCACTCTACCACTAAGCTACCTTCCCAGCCCAAGGCCCAACAGTTTTGAATGCAATGTTTTGTGTACTGGAACATGGCTGTTACCTCACTATGCCTAAGATGCATACTATCTGATTACATATCATGATTAGTTCTGAGGTCAAATCAAACTCATATAAAAAAAACCCAATGGCCAAACAGTAAGCTATTTAGTTTTATGGACAATGTTTTTTTACTCTATACCATTAAAAGGGGTAGACATGATAATCAAAACACAATGGTACAAGTTTAAATTTCAACATGTAACACCACTAGGAAACTTTTCATAGAAACGTTAATTTATCACTTACTGAGTTAAGCTAAAGGCTCTTCCTCATTATTGAAGGACTAATTTACTGTTACCATGGAAGGCAAACCAAACTCCACAATAGATGCCAACAAAGCAAAACTTCCAGGAGTTATGTTAAGACCTGTGGCTTCTGGAGAAGATACTGCTCCCAGGATGCCTAAATGCTAATTTGTTTATTTAGGAAAAGAAATTAATCTTGAATCTGACCTAAAATTTCTATTTTAAGTGTTTGAAATGTTTTAGCAATGCAGTCAGTTTAATTTTTTCTTTCCTGTTGAATATATAGTTGATCTCCATCATGTGCAGATTCCATGTGTGTGATTTGCTTACTTACTAAAACTGACTTGCAACCCTAAATCCACATTCATGGTGCTGTTTCAGTCACTTGAAGACATGTGCTTACAAAGAGCAGTAAAAATCTGAGTCACCCAGCACTTATTATGTTCCCAGTGGAGGTGGAAGGAGGTAAGCTTTGCCTTTTTTTTCCCTCTCATACTGTAAATGAGTATCTTTTTACTCATCTACATAATGTTACTTTTGCACATTTTTTGTGCTTTCTGTTTGTGATGTTGTTTAAAATGGATCCCAAGCATATGCTGAGGCTAGCTAGTGTTTTTAAGCCCACAAAAAAAGCTGTGATATGTCTTCTGGAGCAAATGCATGTGCTAGATAAGCTCCACTTAGGCTCAAGCTAAAATGCTGTTGTAATGTCAACAAATCAACAATATCTGTATGAAATACAGTGTCTTAAATGGAAACACACACAAAACTAGGTTATGTATTGATTGGATGATAAAAATGTCCTGATCAGAGCTCCCAGGAAACAAAGAAGCAATTCCTCAGTATTTGCCAATTCAGTGTTTGTAGAACTTTATAGAACATAACTACCACAAATAAAACCAACTGTATACCTACCTAAACTCATATACATGTCATTTATTTTGTTCTGAGTTTAAAAAACTCTAGAAATTACATTAAATTAAATTAGAAGTCCTCATTAAATTAGACTTTAATAGATTTAATTGAAAAACCAAGCACATAAAAATTTCCCAGGGTACTCATTATCTTGCCCATGTAATTGTAACTCCTCTGTATGGTATTTTCACAATAAAAAAAATTTTTCCCAGGGGTAGAGGAGGGAAAGTGGGAGGAGGAGGTAAGAGGGAAGGGGAGGAGGAAAGTAGTATGACTTTCTAGATAGCAAGCTGGATAGTCAGGCAATAGCTAATTGATGATGAAATTCCAGCTTTTTAGTGCCAAAGACAAGACAATGCTTCTTCCAGTAATTTAGATTAGCTTTCAAGTTCTACATTCAATGAAAAATACTGAGTTTATACCAAATGGAAAATTAAGATAGAAGACAGCTTTTAACACATCAAAAGAGAGAAATTAACTGTAGTAGACAAGAGAAGATGCTGCCTCTTGAAGAGGGCCCCTATCACAGAAAATTTTCAACACATGGAGATCTACCATAACACAGCCTTGCAGAATGGATTTCTGATAAAGCAAGACATACCTATATTAACTAGGGAAACTACAACTTCCAAATACTTACAGTCTCAGGGTACTCACAACATACCGTGCTGAACTTGTCATAGCCAAGCAAAAGGTATCATCAAAACTACTCAATTCATATGGCCGAAAGAACTCATTGTGGATATCAATTTCTTCTTCATATCTGTGAAATTTCTTCACTATTAATTTCTTTAAGTTTGCAGCACAAATTACTAAGAGAGATAACTGCCTGTTAGTTGAATTGTCTTTAGATTATATTCAGCTACATTTCTGTGGTCACAGAAAACGTCTATGGTCAGCTCTGTGTGGGGACTCAGTATTGAAAAAGGCTCACTTGGTTACCATCCCTGGCACTTACTTGGAACAGAGAAAAAAATGCATACACAGAAAACACAATTCAAATGTGTGTGACCAGCTCCAAGGAGAGAGAAGGGGCCTCAGGAAGTCAGGGTAGGAGCAGGGAGTTAGTTCAGAAATCAGATTACTCAGCTCTTTAAATTCCTTTTTACTGTTAACAATTCCCTGCATGCAGTCTAGTTGCAGCTATTTCAATATGTTTTGCTAATATTTAAATCATGTTAATGGCTACTGTTATGTTAGACAGTCAAAGTCCTTTTTTTTCTTCTAGAAAACCAGCATAAGTTATGATTTTGCCCAGGCTTTCAAGTAAGAAATAACTTCTAAGTGAGTAACTTATTAAGAACTAAAATTCTTCAGTAATCTGTTATGACCTCCTCACCCAAATTTGGGATGTCAAACCATGACTAGATGGGAGTCTTTGACTAAAGTGTTGCAGGTTGGCAGTAAACAAACCTTACTAGTTAGGATTACAAAAAAAAAAATTGGCATGCCTAAGGCCAGGAGAATTAGTAACATAACCAGGATTAAATTATGTCTAAAATGAGAGACAGGTGTCCTGGTAGGTCATGCTTATATACCTAGCTAAGTCAGAGATTTGAGAATCTAATTTTAAGTTAGCTAGGGAAGACAAATCTCAAGACTCTTATCTCTAATTAACCAACAAAAAGGTGGAACTAGAGGTGTGGCTTAAGTCATAGAATGCCAGCTAGGAGCAAAAAATGCCAAGCAAGAGCTCAAGTCCCTGAGTTCAAGCCCTAGGTACGGGGATAAATTGGAAAATGACTTAAATTTTGAAGTATTATTTTAATGTGTACAGCACATTTGAAAGTATTTAATAAAATTGTTGTTTACCTCTCAAGACAGATTAATAAAATTTAACTTAAAATGATTTAATTTTTTTGTTTTGTTTTGTTTTCCAGATGTACTGGTGGTAGAACTCAAGCCCTGCTAGCCAGGTGCCCTACTACTTGAGCTATAGCCACACTCCCAGCCCTAAAATGAACTTTCATATACTTTTCTTTCCTTTTTTTTTTTTTTTGGTCACTGCTGAGATATAAGGAAAAAAGACTTAGTTTCTTCTTATGGCTGGATCCTTACTTCCTCATTATTTTCCCCAAATATGTAGAACTATTATCAGCACCCGTTCAAAATGATAAAATAATATATCAACTAAATATTTGAGATGTTTAAGTGTAGGCCACAATGCAAGGTATGCACCTACTTGGAAAAAAAATATACCACAATTCTTGCCCTTTTAGAAGCTAAGAAATGTTACACCACTCCATCTATTAAAATAACAACACAATTATAAATAGCTCTTTGTTTCTTTTTAACAAAAATATCATATGACAAAGATTCAATGATTCAAATTCATTTAGTATAATTATAAAATCTGTTAAGAGTAAAAATCAAAGGGGAACCAGAACCAGTTACCTACCTTCATCATAAGGTAATGGCAAATGCTTTATCACTTCTGGTGTCCACCAGTAAGTATAACTACAAAAAAAAGTATAATACAGGACAAATATAAATGCTGGTGTTCTACATAATTCATAGTCTATGGTAAAATTGCAGCTTATTTAAAGTTATGTTTTTCTCTTTTAAAAAATGTGTTTGCAACCCATTGCAACAATGAGAAGTACAAGTTGTCATGTCGAAAACGAACTTTACAACTTTGGTGGGGGGGGGGAGGATTTTGTGGAGGGGCCAGGAGGAGGCTGGGAAGGGATGGGAAGGGGAAACAAAGGAGGAGGCTACAATGCTTGATAAGAAATGTACTCATTATCTTGCCCATGTAATTGTAACCCCTCTGTACAGTATTTTTACAATAAAAATAAATAAATAAACATGTGAGAGCTCAGAAAATACTGGGACACAATGATGAAAAGAGCTAATGTGGTCTCATACTTAATCTATCTCTTTCTTGCTTACTCTATGTGGTCTCATGTTTAATCTTTCTCTCCCTCTCTCTCTCTCCCCCTCTCTCCCTTTCTCTCTCTCTCTCTCCCTCTCTCTCTCTTTCTCTCTCCCTCTGACACATACTCCCCCCACACAAACACACATACACACACAGAGTAACCAGAACAAGTGGAGTAGTGGACCTACAATAATAGTTGGCACAACTCAGAACAAACTTTGAACATGAACCCAGGCATAGGCACCAGAACACTGACATTAAGCAGAATACACATACTGGAGAGAGTATTCCAAATGCTGAAGGAACTTGAAACTGCTTAAGAGAAACAGATAAAAAAGTGAGGGAAGGGGTGGGTTGGGAGGGATGGGTATGAATGTTGAAAGAGGTGATATTGATCAAGATGCATTGTATTCATAATCTGTTTTGTTAAATGGCAACTCCTTTGTACAACTACTTAAATAGGTAGTTAATTAAAACACTACTTATAAAATAACTACTTAAAGATAATAAAATAAAAAATTAAGGAACAAATAAAGAAACAGAGGCTATTTAATCTAGAGAAGGTATTTTGAGAATTGCTGGATTCATCTTCAAACATTTAAAAGATTAATAAATGGATGAGGAACTCATGCTCTGAAAATTTCAGAGACTTAAACTGTCATTAGTAGGTAAGATTACAAGGAAGTGTATCTTAGCACAATGAGAGGAACACTTGTGTAAGCAAACTGTCCAAAACAACAACTACTTCCCCAGCAAGGCATATTCCAGCTGACAACCTGTGGTTCATCCAGATCACTTCCCTCTGAACAATAAAAAGCTAACTCACGCATCAAATAGCAAGCAGGGCCAGAAACCCTCCCAGTTCTAAGACCTAATAATACCTAACATCTAAAATCAGTTTGGAGACATTTAAACACTTAAGGGGCATCTGCGATGATGTATAACATATTAAAATTAAGAACAAAGGTTCAAAGCGTGGTTTTGAGCAGATCAGTAAATGTGGGGTTCAGGGTATTAGAAATAATGAACTCAAAGGTAACAACTACCAAATTCAGATGAACATTAGGCAGAGTTAGGTTTAATTTCTCTTTTCCTTTTTATTCAATAAAAAACATTATTTTAGCTGGGCCCTGGTGGCTCATGCCTGTATCCTAGCTACTCAGAAGGCTGAGATTTTAGGACTGAGGTTTGAAGTCAGTCTGGATAGGAAAGTCTATGAGCTTCGTATTCTTCATTAACCACCCAAAAGCCAGGGTTAGAGCACTAGCCTTTAGTGAAAAAGATAAGAGAAAGCACCCAACTCCTGAGATCAAGCCCCAGTATTGACACACATACACAAATTATTTCATAGCAAATCATTAGTGAACACAATATAAACTGTACAATTGCCATTAAGTTTGAAAACACAGATGAATACATAAAAAAGTATGTATTGATATGACAGAAGAGTTATAAAAATTGCCTAAGTTTATGGGTCTTAGGGGCATCTGTATTTTTAGTAAATGTTAAAAAGCAGATAATATAATCGACTTAAAGGACAATTAACAATATAGCTACTGGACTTACTTACATTTATATGAGCTCATCTGATTTTCAAAGAAACCCTATTTTACTGATGTGGAAACAGAATTAATCCAGCTGATTTATTTTACACAAGGTAACCCAGGTATTAATTAGAGGCAAATGCTGTAGAGTCTGGCTGGTTCTGGACTATGGATTCCATGTCAGACCCAGTACCAAGTACTTCACATAAGTTTTTCTCATTTCAGCCTCAAAATGACCTTGAGCGAGTATAGACTCATCTCGGTCGTAGATGAGAAAATAAGGTTTTGAGAGTTTAAGTAATGGGTCTCAAGTATATCACATGGAGAAGCCAATTCAACTCAATCTTAGCCTGATCAGGGCTCCTTCTCTTCTTACTGCCACTGGCCAAATTGTTTCCTTTGAGTATTATACTAACTTAGCTGTCATCAAAAAAACCTATATATGGGGTACACTTGTAAGTCCAAAACAAAGCATGAATCTTACAGTATTCACAAATATGTTTATGAGTAGTATCAACCAATGATCCCTTTGATATTCTAAAGGAAAAAAAAACTAAAAGTGTGAGACTTAGTTAGACTATTAGCTACTTTGATAAATTTTATTTTCAGTATGCTGAATCATCCAAATAGCTGAATAACTTCAGTCAAGACACGTTCTCTCTGTACCTCACTTGCCTTTATTTAGAACATGGGGATGTAATACCAGCTTTCTTTTATTCCCACACAGAGTTCCTAAACCACCTGCCTTAGTTATATAACTCAAGGTAAGCTAGTGGTTTAATTTATACTTATAATACGTGGTTAGTCTCTGTGGTACAAAATGAAGCTTTGGTTGTTTCTAGTTTGTATAGAAATAGCTTCAATACTGATACTGGGTAATATAAAATTTCAAAAATCAACATATTTACCTAGGGCCACTTCTTATCAGGGAAGCTAAATACAGATATTTACATAACTTTCTGAAAATAAACGTATAATTAGCTCAAAATGCTTTCTAATATAAAGTATCATTTCTTAATAGTAAATTTAATATAAAAAGTACTAGTGATTTACTTATAGGGAAGTAAGCTCAAGTATTAAGTAACAGAATTGGTAACAGCTACATTGGCATTTGGTAACTCATCCGTTGTTGTGGTCTATACACATAACCAGCAGGCTTAAAGTGACCCTCATAGTATGTAAAAGGCATCTTTGGTTAAAATAAAAGCTACATCAAACTGACCTGCTTGAGAAAAAGCATTACAGGGTCACTCAATATTTGTTATGTATTAAAAATTTTGCCCATGTGGCAAAATTATTGTCAATACATGACTGCTCACAAAGATTCTGAGTTATGTCCGTCAATTTACATTTTGCAAATGAGGTCATTGAAACTTAGGGGAGTAAAGACTTAGTCCAAGGCTATACAACCACCTTGTATGCCTGGTCCTGAAGCCTACACTACAGGGTACAGTAGTGTGTCCCTTGAACTTAGGGCCCAGGCCTGAACTTTTTCTCTCAAGGTTAGCACTCTATCACTTGAGCCACAGCTCCACTTCCAGCTTATTTTGGTGTTTAATTGAAGATAAGATTCCTATAGACTTTCCTGCACAGGCTGGCTTCAAATTGTGATCCTCAGATTTCAGTGCCCTGAGTAACTAGGATTACAAGGTGAGCCACCCATGCCCAGCTACAGGGTACCATATTAAAATGCAGGGGAAACTGTTCATTTCTTTTGAGAATATTAATACTAATTTAACTGTAATCAAATAGTCTTTACTGGCAAATGACTCTAGAAATTTAGGTTGCGTGTTATCAGTGAGTGGCAGGAGTGGTTACTTGCCACTGGCATCACTGCTCTGGATTCTTATTTTGAACACTTTCATACAGAGTTAGTTGTAGTTGCCAGAGAAAAGAGCACTGGAGAACATTTTGTAACTCCAATATTACAGAGTAAAAGCTGCCTCTAAGCAACATCTACTCTTGAAAATTCCAAGACTGACTCCTTGAATCTTAGAGTACTTCAGGGTTTCATTTTTGCAGGAAGTACTAAAAAATGATGAAGCTTTATCTGTATATAGGGGATAGGCAAAACAACTGATGAGCACCATTTCCCCAGTCAACTTTTTTTTTTTAATCAACAATATTAAACTCAAGGCAAACACGTAGTTAAGACTACCTTATCTTACACAATTATTTTTGAAAAAGAAAATTTCATATCCAGATAGCATCAATATAATTTTACATGCTCAAGTAGGGGAAAAAATACCTTCTTCTTGTTGGTAGAAGTCTCATAGTATTTTTGTGGTGTAAATAAAAATCTGTTGGGAGTTCCCAGAGATGCGGTTTCCCTTCAGTGGGATGGAAAACTCCCAGGAAGAGATTGATAGAATCTTGTCTATCAGCATCTAAAAAGCAAAAACATATTTCAGAAGATCCATGACTGACAGCTCACGAGAACATCTCAGGAGAACAGTAATACAAACATGATGTCATAGACCAGATCTCTGAAAATAAAAGTGGCTTTTATATTTCAAACATTATACACATACACCCAAACAAAACTCTGACAATTACAATCTTGGTTCAAAATTTCTATTTTGCTCTATACCTCTCCTAACAGACAAACTACTTCCTGAATGTTGACTCTTAAAAATCTTTAAGATTTATAGGTACATTCAATAAGTAAACATGTTGGGTGGTATGCAAGTGGTTACAAATGAATTAACTGAAGTACAGTAGACTCTATGGAGAGCTCAAATAATATAATCAATCTTTTAGAAAGACTAGGTCAAAGCCCAAGAAATGGGTATATCCAAGAAGTAAGGTGGGGCCAAGGGGAGAGGGGAAGATGAGTGAAAGGGGAAAGAGGGGAGAATAAAATCAAGAATTCATTGTATATACCACAAAATTAAGAAAGGAGAAAGAGGGGGTTGAAGGGGGATAATAATGATGATGGGATGACACTGATCAAGATGCACTGAATCATAAACTTCTTTATTAAATGGCAACTCCTTTGTACAACTAATTAAAGATAATAATTGTTTTAATATTTCAGAATTGCTATACTCCTTTGGAGAATGATTTTATTTTGGGGCAAAAACACCCTCATCATTGGTTAGTTTGCCTCAAGTAAATATATCTTCCTTTTGTTGTAAACAGAGGTTAGAGTTTGTTGTCAGAGACTAATAAGATGACCCAATTCCTACCCATTTTGTCAAGGGACCTTGAACAAGTCAGTTGCATAGTTTCCATTTTTAATCCTTGAAAAGACATTTTCCCTTTCTTTCACAGAGACAATGTTTACCATGTTTTTTGTCCCCCCATATGCCTGGCTCATTCTCTTCTGTGGTCGATAATAAAGACAGCAGCGGCACAAGAATAACAGCTTCATTCTAACTATTCAATCACTCCAAAATTACTTTTCAAACTATACTACGGATTAATAAAAGTAATTACACATATCCTATTTCCTCTTCCTTTTCCCGATTATATGTGGGTATAAATGATAACACTGAATGGTCTCATGAGCTCCTTTCCTATTCTCCTCCCTGCTCCCTCTATTCTTCCCCATCATTTCCTTCTTCCCATTCTTGTCTTCAAGGCTTGTGCATTTAGGTTTGCAGCAGACATTCACAATACCAACAACCTCTTTCCAAAACTGAGCACAGGACTAAAGAGGAAGCACAGCAGAGATGACTGCTTTGAGAACAATATCACATTATTCTAAAATCAATTTTCTTCCAACAGCTGAATACAGACATCTGAAATTAGTATTGGGTTACTTGATCATTTCAGCAAAAGAAAATGAATGAAATATGGTAGATCAAGAGTGTATTCCCATTATTATTTTGACAGAAAACATTCCATTAAAACAACATTTACCTTTCAGATGAAATGTGATATATAAAAAGGATGTGTTTATATGCTAGGTATATATTTGAATCTTTATTTTCTACTTGTTTAGAGAAAACACTGAGCATGGGATGATGCAGACATTACACCATATGGGAATATACATATTGCTGTTACAGCAACTACATTCTTTATGCTTCTTGAATAGCTTTAATGGCACTTAATAGTTTCACATAATGACTCAAATTATCTCAGTATTAAGTAGATAAGTTTTCCATTTCAACCATGTTTTCAAGGAGTTTCTTTCATCCTTTAAGCCTGAGGACACCTGCCTTTAAATTTTACCAAGTGTGAAAATGTGAGCAATATAACCAAAAGGGGAGGGAATACACGGAGAAGGACTATAAAGCAGGAAACACAAAGAAGAATATAAAGATTTCATGAAAGTATTTCTGCTATGACAACTAAAAACATGTATGATGTTAAAAAACCATATATGATGTTACATATATATATATATATATATATATATGTTACTATATATGATTAAGCTTGGGCTATAAGTCTCCTGAATAAGCCTAAAAATCTATATACAGGAATATGGTAGCATGTTGGATATGAACAAGAGCTTAAAAATGGTAGTTTCTATGCAGTCATGGGTAACAAGAGAGCAAAATAATTTGCTACTTTTCTTTGTATGCCTGACCTGGGTGCTATCCTTGAGCTTTCATGGTCAAGGCTCTCTACCCTTTGACCACAGCTCCACTTTCACCTTTTGGTAGTTAATAGGAGACAAGAGTCGCACAAACTTTCCTGTCTGGGCTAGCTTTGAACCACTATCCTCAGATCTCAGCCTCCTGAGTAGCTAGGATTATAAGCATGAGCCACTGGTGCCTGGCTTAATTACCTACTTTTATACAACATCAAGCCTTAAAACCAAAAAGAGGCTGGAGATATAGATTAGTGATAGAGTACTTGCCCAGCATGCCAAACCGCTGGGTTCCAAATCCAACACTACAAAAAAATAAAAATAAAAAGAATATTAACTATTCAAATGGCATGTCATACAAATAGTTAAGCACTAGCCAGTTTTATTAACTATATTTAAATAGATGAGGTCTGAATATGACAATTATTTATTGAAAATTTACTTTGGAATTCAATCTGCTATTCAGTATACAGTATGTGGAAAATGAACTATGTAACTTATGGGCAGGGATGGGAGGGAGAAAGTGAAGGAAAGGGTGACATTGTCCCCGAAAAGTAATGTATTCATTACCTGACTAATGAAATGGTAACCTCTCTGTATAACACCTTAATAACAATAAAATTATTTTTAAAAATGTCTTTTGAGCCAGGCGCCAGTGGCTCATGCCCATAATCCTAGCTACTCATGAGGTTGAGATCTGAAGATCAAGGTTCAAAGCCAGCCTTGGCAAGAAATTCCATGAGACTCTTAGCTCCAATAAACCACCAGAAAACTGGAGTGGTACAGTGGCTCAAGTGGTAGAGCACTAGCCTTTAGCTGAAGAGCTGAGGGGCAGTGCCTAGGCCCAGAGTTCAGGCCCCACAACTGGACCCTCCCCCGCGTCCCCCCAAAAAAAGAAACAGCCAATGAATATACAAAAATAAATAGAACTGCATCAGTTAGCAAAGAAGAGAAAATTAAAAATAAATAAAATTCTACTTGCTAAGTTGGAAAAATATTTGTCAAAGTGGCCCTCTTATACTCTGTTGATGACTAATCCTTTCTGAAGGCAATGAGTCTACATACATAAATAAAATGTGATGGTTAATCCTGATTGTCAACTTGACTAGATTAAGAACTATCTAGTAGACTAAAAAGGTAATTAGATCATGAGGGTACTGATTTAATAAATGTTTTAATCCACTGATGGCTCTATTGAGACATGGTAAAAAGTAGGAGGTGAAGCCTACTTGGTGACTAAGGGGCATGTCCTTGAGGATTATATCTTGCCCTGGCTTCTTTTTACATTCCCTTTTCTTTGCTTCCCACCTTTCCCTTTCTCTGTTTCCTACACACCATGAGGTGAAGAAGTGCCTCCATTGCAGGCTCCTACCACCATAACATTCTGCCACAGTAACCATGAACAAAAATAACATTTCTCCCTTAAGTCTTTATGCCAGGTATTGTTTTCAGGCTTAGAAAAAAAAAATTTTTACCCTTTGACCTAATAAATATGCTTGTAGAGTTTATATAAGAAAAGATAAGAGATGTGCAAAAAAGGTGTATGTTAAAAGATCTTCATTTAGAAGGACCCTAAATGAACAAAAACAAATAACAAAATTATAATGCTTCCAAAGAACAGAGTACTAAGGCTACTAAACAATCAGGCTGTAGAAGAATATTTAAGGCCATAAAGATTATCCACATTATCTAAAAGGGCAAAAGCAGATTATAAATTACATGTATAGTAAAACCTGAGCATGATGTTCTCATAAATATGAACAAACTGCTATCTCTGGAAGGTGGAGATATAATTTGTGAGCTATCCTGTACTTTCTAATATTAACACAATTTAATAGTTGATAAAATAATTCATTCACTTAAGAACCTATTATGTCCTTCAATGGGGAAATAAGACTGACAAGGACCTGCCTTTTAGAGACTTACAATTCACAGTAGGAAATGTGGGAGGAGGGGTGTGTGTGGACACATAGATACATGTAACAGGCAAGGTACACTTGAAGGATCTAAGTTCAATAAAGAAAACAGAATAGTGATGTGGGAGTGATGAGAATAGAAAGGGCCATTCTAGTTGGACATTCAGAGAAAGGAGTAGAGGTTGACGTGTCAGAGGAAGTAACGTGAACTGTAAGGATTTGAAAGGAGTGGTCACACAGGGTTCTGAGGGCACAGCCTTTGGCCCAAGCAGGATAAAAATTGCAAAGGTCTTAAGAGGGAACAGCAGCTCCCAAAACAGAAAAAATGCCAGGGATACTAAGGGTAGTGGGAAGAGGAAAGACCAGTGTGTTAGACAGAGCTAGATCACACAAGTCCTTATTGATCATGATAGGGAATCTAATTTTAAGTGCAATGGGAAATCCTAGGAGGAAAGGGATGAGATCTGGTCTCACTTTCAAAAACCTTAATGCTGGCTACTATGAAGAGTTAACCTACAAGAAGAGAAGTAAAGATGAATGAGCAGCTACTAAAGCTGTCAGGAAAAGATGTACTGCTTGTATCGGTGTGGCAGCAATAAGGATGACAAGGAGTGGAAGAATTTGGGATGTATTTGGGATGTATTTTGGAGGTAGAGATTCCAAGTACATGGGATAATAGGAGAGGATGGCTGATGAGGAAAACAAGGGATTCAAAGATGATTCCTAGCTTTCTACATTGGGAGCTGAGGTGGAAAGAACAAGTGGAGAAACAAGTTAGAGCCAAGTCTGTCTCACAGATGTAATTTTGAGAATCCTTTAAAAAAAACCTTTTTTGGACAGTACTGGAGGTCAAAGCCCAACAACAAAATGATGAGAAAAGAACAAAGGGCAAACCAATGAAACAGCAATACTCACAAGACAATATACT